CGATGAGTAGCATAGAAGAAAAACTTTTAATCTAGAATTAATAAAGAAAACATTTATCTAAGAAATAAAACATATATAACCATGAAAGATACAAAAATACACCAATGTAATATAAAATAGATATAATGTATACACATACGCGCGCACGAGACACACTGCGCGCCGCACGTGCACACGCACGCACGCCATGCACCGCCACACACACACGCACGCACGCACACACACACACACACACACACACACAACCACACACGCGACTACACCGCACGTCACGCCACCGCACATAACACACACACACTCACACACACACACACACACACACACACACACACACACACACACACCACACACACAACACTACACTACGCACAACACACACACACACACACACTTTTCTCACACTACAAGAACGTGAAGAAACCCCACAATGCGATTAAGTGTGCCAACATTTTGTTTATTTATCATTGATAATGATTTAATCGCATATTTCATTTAGATATTAATTGATTTTCTAATGCATGCATAATATTACACAAATAAACAAAAAATACATAAAATAACATTAGCGTATGTAGGTATTACATGCACGTGCTAATCAGCCCATGAGCGCTGGAGCGCTGAAACAGGTCAAAGATGAGGTCGTTTTGCGGCGTATCCGCGTGGGCTGCATTTTTATATATGACATATATTTCTTGGGGGAAAGGGTTAGAACCATAGAAATAATATAGATAACCATCTATATTATTATTATGGTTATCTATATTATTTCTATGGTTAGAACTCTGCAATTGTTAATTTCAAAAACTAATAAATATCATATAACACAATCATATAAAACACATAATGATTATGTGTTATATCAAGAGCTAATAATACCTTTTTTTTTTTAGGTATTATTAGCTCTTGATGATATCTATATGGCTGTGGGTGGTGCGTCCGCTGCACACTCCTCTATCTATTTACTCTTGGTTGATATCGGTGCAAGAGCTCTTAGCTTATGAGTTATGTTAATAATGTTCATTGTATATATATATACCAATGAAAATAAATTTTACTTGAACTTGAACTTGAACTTGAACTCCTATGGCGGCCGGAGAATTTTCAAAAAAAGCTTACTTTTTCGCGCAAAATCTTGTTGCAAAGTGGCGATTTCACGTGTGTGCCGGAAAAAGTTTGTTTACATAAAAAATCGTGAACGAGTTTTTTGTAATTTCTCGAAAAGATCTCTGCTGAATTTTTCCTTATGTATGTCGCCAATGGGAAATGATTTCCCATCTGGATGGCGCCTCGGCGTGGCGCTGTAGATTGTCGTTCTTGTGTTAAAATAATATGGCCTATGTTGACATTTAGTTTTAGCATATCGGCGGATTTGTAAGTTTTC